GAGGGGGAGGAGGAGGAGGAGAAGAGGAGGAGGAAGAGGAGGAAGAGGAATAGGAGGAGGTGGAAGAGGAGGAGGAGGAGGGGGAGGAAGCGAGAGAGGAGGAAGAGGAGGAGGAAGAGTAAGTAGGTTGGACAACCAAAAAAAAATCAAAAGAAAACACAATATAACCACAAAATAACCACAAAAGTCCCAGAATTTGAAAATTTGGAGGGAGAGGAGGAAGAGGAGGAGGAGAAAGAGGAGGAGAAGGAGGAGGAGGAAGAGGAAGAGGAGGAGGAGGAAGGGGAGGGGGAGGAAGAGGAGGAAGAGGAGGAGGAGGAAGAGGAGGAGGAAGAGGAAGAGGAGGAGGAGGAGGAAGAGGAAAGGAGGAAGAGGAGGAGGAAGAAGAGGAGGAGGAAGAGGAAGAGGAGGAGGAAGAGGAGGAGGAGGAAGAGGAGGAGGTCAGACGTTTTCCGACCGGGAGGGGAGGTAAAAAACGGGGGGAGAAACCTTGGAGGAGTCCAGGTCCGTGGGATGTTTCATGGTTTTGGAGTCGTATCCGTTGTGCCGGTCTTTGATGACGGGATCAAAGAGCTCGGCGAACACCTGGAGACAGGTGAGAAGGTTAGGCAACCAAAAAATAATCAAAATGAAACACAATATAACCAGAAAAAAGTCCAAGAATATTAAAACAGATAATTACTGCAGGGGTCTGAGAACGGCTCCCTGAGGAGCTCCTGCCCCTTAACCCTGTAATGCCAAATGTATCATATTTGATTCATACGGTTTCTGAAATGTTTTGTTTTCTGACACTTTTTGCTTAATTTAATGGTAAAAATTTTGCTCTAAATCCTATTGTACACAATCAGATACACCTGATAACAGGGGGCAGAAGACTACACAAAAAATAATCTTGACTTATCGCATAGGAATAAATTATTAATATTAAAAATGTATTTTTGTTTTTTCTTTTTACATATTTTGTTAAAAGGCCAAATAAGGAATTTAAACAAAAAAAAAGGTAATTTTCAGTTTTGTTTTATTCTTGGATCAGGCTTTAAGGTCCACTTTAAAGCTCCCCAGTGTAGGAGGGTGAAACTGTGTTTTCATCCGAACAATACTTCAATATACAAAATTATATACAAAATCTAGTCATAAGGAATTATTACCTGATTACGCCACCAGTCACTAGAACAGTACAGACACTCAAAAATGACATATTATTTGCAGATAGTTCATTCCTTATCAAAAAATCTTTTTAGACCATTCCTTATGACTAGATTTTATATATAATTTTGTATATTGAAGTGGACATGTTAAGAGCAATTTGAAAGAAGAAATATAAAATATGATAAAAAATACATTTTTGTGTTTATTTGATTCCTATTCAAGACACTTAGGATAAGATAAGAATAAAATAAGAATACCTATCGTGTTACTATAGATATACTACAGATTTGTTTAACATTTTTGGTTGGTGGTGTGCCTCAGGATTTTTTTAATGAAAAACTCTACCTTGGCTCAAAAAAGGTTGAAAAACACTGGTATAGTGTACCGAGGCACAGCGGTTGAAAAACACTGATCTAAATGATTTAGTGCAGGGGTCACCAACACGGTGCCCGCGGGCACCAGGTCGCCCGCAGGCCTGTTCTAAAAATAGCACAACTCAATAGTGAGCTGCGTCTAAAATTCAATTTTGTTCCGTTGCTTTTCTTTTTTAATCACACTTACATTCATATAGATTTGATTTAAAATGACAATATCTTAAAGATATGTTAATTATATATTAAGTTGAATTTTTCTCTAGTTCAAAGGTCAGTATTGAGCACGTGACAAAAC